GCTTTCAGCACTGTCACACTTTGAATGACAATTGCGCTGTCATGCAACACTGTACCCATATGAAATTTTTTATCATTTTTTTGAGACAGATAGAGCTTTCTTTTGGTGGTAATTAATCACCTCTGGGATTTTTATTTTTTCTTAAACAAACCAAAAACCACTGAAAATTAAAAAAAAAAAAGTTTTTTATTAGTTTTTGTTATACAATTTTGTAAATAAGTGATTTTTCTCTTTCACTGATGTGCGCTAATGAGGCTGCAGTGATGGGCACTGATAGGCTGCACTGATGGACACTGAAAGGCAGCACTGATACATGACACTGATATATGGCACTGATAGGCGGCACTGATAGGCAGCACTGACTGGCACTGATAGGCGGCACTGACTGGCACTGTTAGGCGGTACTGACTGGCACTGTTAAGCAGCACTGACTGGCACTGTTAGCAGCACTGATAGGCGGCACTGGCACTGATAGGCGACACTGACTGGCACTGATGGGTGACATTGAAAGGCAGCTCAGATGGGCACTGATATGTGGCATTGATGTGCACTGGTATGCACTGATATTTGGCATTGATGTGGCACTGATGGACACTGGCAGGTGGCACTGATGAGCACTGACTGCTGGCACTGATGGACACTGACAGGTGGCACTTCTGGGGCCACACTGATCATCAGGGCACACTGATCATCAGTGTCCTGATGATCAGTGTACAGTTGCAAGAAAAAGTATGTGAACCCCTTGGGATTACGTGGAGTTTTGCATGAATTGGGCCCTGATGATCAGTGAACATGTCCCCTCCGCGGAAAGCCAATTACCAGCTCTCCTCTCCTCTCGAGCTGTCAGCGTGACAGCTCGTGAGGAGAGAATTGCCAATAACCGGCATTTCCGTGTTTACATGTGATCAGCTGTGATTGGACACAGCTGATCACATGACCGAGCCAACATCTTCGGCTCTTTCCGTGATCCGCTGTGTCCGAGGGACAGAGCGCACCGGCGATCGCCGCGCTGCGCACTCCCTGAGCCACGCATGCGCAGTGAGAATGGAAGGACGTCAAATGATGTCCTATCAGAACGAGAGAACCACCTTGCTCCCGTCATTGTACTATATGGCGGGCGGAAGGTGGTTAATATGGATACTTGGGCACTCATATGTGTTTTGGGGAGCTAAGAGGGCCGCTGTCAGACCGGAGGGCAGGCAGTTAAGTTTACCACACAGTGAAGTCAGGGTGAGGTGGATCGTGGTCTCGAGTTCTGCCGGAGGTTCAATGTTATGCCAGATTGGATCGGCCTCCAGATGATCTTTTATTGCACTGGGTGGCAATGATTTGGGATTATGGTCCATGAGAGTCTTGATCCGGGACATAAAGCTGGATTTTCTCCGTTTGCACACTTCCTTTCCTAGCATTATTTTGGTGTGGATATTATTGGTAGGGCTGCCTGGCGCATGGCCCGCCCGGTGGCCAGGCTTAACAAGGTGAGGATCAAGGTTAACAAGGAGGTGGCCAGATTCTTTCTCCAGAATGGTGGTCTGGCAGTTCGGCATGTAGGGTTGGAGGACGATAACTGACTCTATTTGAGGGGGGACGGGGTTCATTTGTAGGCACAGATATGTGGTTTTTGAGCTTGCAGGAGGGCCTGCAAAGGGCTTTGTGGTTGTGGCGGGCTGCCCAGGCATGAGGTTTCATGCTGGGCGTCTGTGGCAGGAGTCTCAGGTTCATGTAAGCCAGCATGGTCAAAACAGTATGTGGAGTGTAATGGGTAGGGCCCATCTTGGTATGGGTATACCTTCCTTATGAAGTTATATCAGCTGGGGCTATCGGTCATCGGGCTGCATCGGGTGTCCAAAGGGTTAACAATTTGTCCCTGAGCCAGTGTAACTGCAGCTATGGTCCTGAATAGGAATGTGGTGGGTGATAAAGCTGATGCGATAGTAAAACGGGCCTTCATTACCTGAGACAAAAAGGAGACGGTCATTATGTACTTTATGGTTGTAAAGTTTGTGTTTAAGAATTTGGTATTAAAAGTGATTCTTTTATTTTATGGTTGTTAATAAAAGGGCTGCTATGGCAATGTAAATCCAAGATAAGTGGTTTGTCTCATTTTTAAAGAAGTTGAATGGTACATGGGTTATGGTAGTAATGGGTCAGGGCAGCCGCAACATCAGCAATACTTCAGTCATGTGAAATAGGAGCCCCAAAGACAAAAGGGCCATTCAAGCCCTATAAAAGGCATACAGTACAAGGCTGGTAACTTAATTATATTTGTCCAAGAGAGTGCTTCCCTTATGGCAACAGTACCAAGTCACAATGCTAAAAATGTACGTAACATGACATGGTTATGTATCGTGTTGGCAAAACTAAGCAGCATGCACAATTTAGTTTACAGAAGAAATGATTGGTACAGAGAAATCTCATGGGCTACACAGTGTGAAAGCTTACCAGCAAAATGAACGCACCTAGGAATCATATGGTTGAAAGTTGGGAAGCATTCTGCCAAAAAGAATCAGCTTGTGTGAAAGTATAAGCAAATATAAAAAAAGACATGAGTGACTAAAATGATACAGGAGGGCAAACCTTTATTCTGCATGTAGGCAAGTGCAATATGCTTCCTCCACTGTAGGTGGCACTTGACCAGAGAGGTACCAGATTTATATTTCCTGCCTCCCTTGGCCAACTATCTGGTGCTGGTGCCATTCTCATCCTATTCGGCTGTCACACTACACAAAACTTTTATTATAGACAGAAAAGCCAAAAGAGTCTTCTGATTCTAAAACAAATGATAAAAAAACAAAGGCATACCTACCCCTGCTCTGCTAGCAGTTGAGTTTTTGGTGTATGGACCCAAAGTACAAGGTACACTATTCTACCTACAAATTGTACAGAAACAGCAACAATGATGACTCGGCTAAATTTTACAAGCAGGTCAGCAAGATGGTAAACTGAAATCCCTAATTATAAATGAGAATATGTTACTGGTTGGAGAAAATATGTGTGCATGTCTATGGGCGGAACCTCACAGGCCTGCTGGCCTAGGCTATGACATATGTTGGCTGTGCAGAAATATGACCCTGGCTGCAAGATTTAAAGAAGCTATACTCAGAACGACTTTTTTGTAGATAAATATTTGATCAGCCTTATAATGGAAAACAGGTTGGAGTATTTCATCTTTGACATCTTTTATTCCTAAGATATAATGCAAAAGAAGAGAATATGCAACACACCAAGCCAGATCGTCATTTAAACAGGTTTTATTGGCAATAATATGTCATATATTTTTAGAACGAACGGCAAGCAACAGTGATAATACAAAGCCTTACCCCATTGACATACCTATTAGTTTAGTACTACCTAAAGTATTATTCTCCTGAGAATTATATTGACAGGTTTAACTGTGCAATTGTCACATGGCTGCATTGTGCTGTAGTAACCATGCTGTAAACCACATCTAGTTGTTAGTTATGGTATTAAATGTATGAAGTTTTATATCAATATCACTTTTGAATGCAAAATAAGGCTATATAAATCTTTGTGGACTTCTTGTTTTTTAAGGTCTCATGTACACTATGCATTTAGCCTGGGGGCATGAAATCCCGGTATTTTGGTGCAGGTAGAAGGCATACCGCACTGTTCAGCCCTGCTGCCAGCATCCTGTAAAACTCTATGAAAGACTGCAAGCCGTCTGCATTCTTGGTATTCACTCCTCGGCGCATACTGCTCTAAATGTTAGTACCGCTCGGTGCACCATCCAAAACCATCCAGCAGCAGAAGCTATCAGCATCTCATGCAGTTTAAGGTCCCATTCACACTAGTAACTGCATGTGAATTGCACAGGAACACTGTGCGATTCCTGTGCAATTCACATGCAGTTCTTTGCAGCGTTATTTCAGCCTTATTCACTTTGAATGGGCTGGAATTGCTCTGCAACAAAAGTAGTAAATGCATTACTTTTTGGAACACATGGCAACTGCATTGTATGGCACTTTTGTACCATGCGATCTAGTGCGCGCAAACGCAATGCGTTTGCGACCTGCATTTGGGGTGTTGTTAACTTTAAAATGAACCCCACAGCAGATCACAAGGGCATTGTGATCGGAATGCGGTGCAGGACGCTGGGCAGGACTGTGGCTCGCCCACGCTGCATTCTAGTGTGAATGGGCCCTTACAAGCTGCCAGCAGCAGGGCTGGATGGTGTACCTGTGCCTTTCACTCGCACCAAAATGCCGGGATCTTATGCACAAGGGCTAAGGCTAGGTTCACATATGTGCGGGTGGTGCGGCTGCAGATCCACACGAAAATTAATTCTAATGGCACGTTGCCCGCACTGGAAAACGCAACCGTACTGGGAACCTAGGTTCCCGTGTGGCTGCTGCGTTTTCAGAAGAAGTGCAGGGACTCCTTCCCTGCGTGTCACGGGGCACGGGAGTCCATTCAAATGAATGGGCTCTCGTGCCCGTGTAAAATGTGGCCCGCACGGCCGCATATATGTGAACCAGGGGTAAATGCCCAGTGTGCACAAGGCATAATGTATCAGAGCATATCAAAGAAAGATCAGCTGGTTAAAATTAACCCTGTAGCCAGTCTGTGAATAACAATTTTAAAAACCCAGTCATCTATATTAACCCTCAGCACCATGATTTGTAAATTGTTCATATATAACAATTCCAAGTCTAAGACATTTCACTCAATATTTTACTCCATAGCTAATTACAGTACTTTATGTATCCTGAAATCATACTGAAATATGTAAACGAGTATAAAAAGAACATTTTCCTGTGCCATACCCATGTAATATACTGCTCATAAAACAGATATACTGTATGTTAAAAAGTGTTAGATATTTAAGCCATTAAAACATGGATATAGTTTCAATTCCAATACAATATATTGAAATGACAGGCATTCATAAAATATAAAGAATTCGGAGCTCAGTAAAACACACATACATCAGTTTAGAGAGAAAAGTATCCTTGTATTTCGGTTTGGGAAGAAAGAGGTCTCTACTTTGTTCTAATTCTTTTACTTGTGATCGGAATATTCTCTGAGCGAAAACCACTTTCCTGGGGCCGGCAAGCATGTGAATTGTTTGTGCTCTCTTGTGAGTTCTTGGCTTCCTGCAATAAAACAGGGAAGGAAGATGATAATTTACATGTAAATTAGAAGTCAAAGAAGCTTTTGAAAATAGATGAAAAGTAAAGAAATTAGTCATTATTGTTGCATGTTATCATATTCCATAACCACTTCAGCTCCAGAAAAAAAACACTTTTTTCCCCCAATTTTTTGCTCTTTTTTAATTTATAGTGCAAAAAATAAAACACCCAGTGGTTATTAAATTCCACCAAAAGAAAGCTCTATTTGTGTGATAAAAACTTCATATGGGTACAATGTTGCATGACCGCGCAATTGTCATTCAAAGTGTGAGAGCGCTGAAAGCTGAAAATTGGCCTGGGCAGGAAGGGTATAAAAGTGCCCGATAGGCAATTGGTTAAGGAAGTTCTATTAAATCCAAAATCAAATGTTAAAAGAAAATGAAACTTTGAAGTACATTCCAATGACAACTGTCAAGCTCTGTTGTCATTAACAAACATTTTTTTGTGTGCGAATGTTTGTACAAAAATCTTTCAGTGTATGGCCAGTCAAACACATCTTTTCATTACTTATTGAAAATCTTTTGTGAAATTAAACAAATATGTAATTTGTTACAATATATGATCTTATACAAAAATATGATCTTATATACATATCACAAAAAATGGGAGGGGTCCTTATAAAAATGGAGGCAGTAAAACAAGTTACAAGCTTCCCTTAACTATCTAACCAGCCTTCGAAGAATGTATTGCACTGGGTAATACCTTCACTTTCTTGTTATGGAACACCTATGTTTGCTCACTTAGTTACAAATTTACATTTCATTTTGACCTTCAAATCATTGCAACCGCATGATTATAATTGCAGTTTTCTTGGTGCCAAGAGTCCAGTGCTGCATGATTTTGGTTTGGGTTCTGTATACTTTTGGTACAGAGGCTTGGGTTGAATGTAGAAATTATGTATGCAGAAGAAAAGGTGTTACGTGTTGGGGGGTTAGATGTTGAGGTCTCCCTTTAAAGCTGTTGTTTAGAGGGTTTTTTTTACTTTATTTGTTGGGCATTATTAATGAGACACTTCATACATATCCCAACACCTTTCACTGTAATTCTTTAAAAATCCTACCTGCTAATTGTTGTATCAGTTGTACTTCCTCTTGAGGTTACCAGTCACCTCAACTGGCTAGCTCTGTGCCAGGTTACTAGTATGCCCCCTTCTCTTCAAATGCGTTTATATATGATGTAGCCCTGGAGACTCCTCCAGTTGGAGAAGAAAGGTCTTTATGTGAGGTTTTACATATATATACAGTATACCACAGAAGTGAGTACACCCCCACATTTTTGTAAACATTTTATTGTATCTTTTCACGTGACAACACTGAAGAAATTATACTTTGCTACAATGTGACGTAGGAGTGTACAGCTTGTATAACAGTGTAAATTTGCTGTCCCCTCAAAATAACTCAACACACAGACTTTAATGTCTAAACCGCTGGCAACAAAAGTGAGTACACCCCTAAGTAAAAATGTCCAAATTGGGCCTAAACTGTAAATATTTTGTGTAGCCACCATTATTTTCCAGGACTGCCTTAACCCTCTTGGGCATGGAGTTCACCAGAGCTTCGAAGGTTGCCACTGGAGTCCTCTTCCACTCCTCCATGACGACATCACGGAGCTGATGGATGTTAGAGACCTTGCGCTCCTCCACCTTCCTTTTGAGGATGCCCCACAGATGCTCAGTAGGGTTTAGGTCTGGAGACATGCTTGGCCAGTCCATCACCTTTACCCTCAGCTTCTTTAGCAAGGCAGTGGTCATCTTAGAGGTGTGTTTGGGGTCGTTATCATGTTGGAATACTGCCCTGTGGCCCAGTCCCCGAAGGAAGGGGATCATGCTCTGTTTCAGTATGTCACAGTACATGTTGGCATTCGTGGTTCCCTCAAAGAATTGTTGCTCCCCAGTGCCAGCAGCACTCATGCAGCCCCAGACTATGACACTCGCACCACCATGCTTGACTGTAGGCAAGACACACTTGTCTTTGTACCCCTCACCTGGATGCCGCCACACACGCTTGACACCATCTGAACCAAGTAAGTTTATCTTGGTCTCATCAGACCACAGGACATGGTTCCAGTAATCCATGTCCTTAGTCTGCTTGTCTTCAGCAAACTGTTTGCGGGCTTTCTTGTGCATCATCTTTAGAAGAGGCTTTCTTCTGGGACGACAGCCATCCAGACCAATTTGATGCAGTGTGCAGCGTATGGTCTGAGCACTGACAGGCCGGCCCCCCCCACCCCTTCAACCTCTGCAGCAATGCTGGCAGCACTCATACGTCTATTTCCCAAAGATAACCTCTGGAAATGACGTTAAGCACGTGCACTCAACTTCTTTGGTCGCCCATGGCGAGGCCTGTTCTGAGTGGAACCTGTCCTGTTAAACCACTGAATGGTCTTGGCCACAGTGCTGCAGCTCAGTTTTAGGGTCTTGGCAATCTTCTCATAGCCTAGGCCATCTTTATGTAGAGCAACAATTATTTTTTTCAGATCCTCAGAGAGTTTTTTGCCATGAGGTGACATGTTGAACTTCCAGTGACCAGTATCAGAGTGATAGTGATAACACCAAATTTAGCACACTTACTCCACATTCATACCTGAGACCTTGTAACACTAATGAGCCACATGGTGTAGACATTAATGGCTGTGTGTTGAGTTATTTTGAAGGGACAGCAAATTTACACTGTTATACAAGCTGTACACTCACTACTTTACATTGTAGCAAAGTGTCATTTCTTCAGTGTTGTCACATGAAAAGATAGAATCAAATATTTACAAAAATGTGAATGGTGTACTCACTTCTGGGTGATACTGTGTGTGTGTATATATATATATATATATATATATACATATATATATATATTGTATACAGTCAAGGTAAAAAATGTTGGCACCCCTGGAATTCTGTCAGCTAATGCACCAGTTTGCCCAGAAAATTGTTGCAATTACAAATGTTTAGACATGCTAATGTTTTTTTGTGTCATATCAATACAAACAAAAGAAATACACATGAAAATGCCTAAACATTTGTAATTGCAACAATTTTCTGGGTGAAGTGGTGCATTATCTGACAGAAATGCAGTGTGTCAATAATTTTGGCTATGACTCTATATATTCTACAGCATAAATGTACACTCACCTGCCACTTTGTTAGGTACACCTGTTCAATTGCTTGGTAGCACAAATTGCTAATCGGCCAATCACATGGCAGCAACTCAGTGCATTTAGGAATGTAAACGTGGTGAAGACGACTTCCTGAAGTTCAAAGTATCAGGATGGGGAAGAAAGGAGATTTAAGTGACTTTGAACGTGGCATGGCTGTTGGTGCCAGACGGGCTGGTCTGAGTATTTTAAAAACTGCTGATCTACTGGGATTTTCACGCACAACCATCTCTAGGGTTAACAGAGAATGGTCCAAAAAAAAGAGAAAATATCCAGTGAGCGGCAGTTGTGTGGAGGAAAATGCCTTGTTGATATCAGAGGTCAGAGGAGAATGGACAGACTGGTTGCTGCGACATTCAGATGGTAGGGTCAGAATTTGGTGTGTAAACAACATGAAAGCATGGATCTATCCTGCCTTGTATCAATGGTTAAGGCTGGTGGTGGTGGTGGTGTAATGGTGTGGGGGATATTTTCTTGGCACTAATCAAGCTGTACCTAATAAAGTGGGCGGCGAGTGTATGTATGTGCATATATACTGTATATTACATGCTGCCTGTGGCTTCCCCCCCCCCCAATAAATTGCAAATAAAACACTCTAAGTCTAACAGCTTACTTTTCTTTTGTTTCCTTTCTGTCCAGGCAAAACACTTGATTTGCTTCCCATTGCCTTTTCAAATGCTGTAAGAAAAAGATATTTGTATGAACACATGCTTCTAGTCACTGACATGTTTCATGCTCACATTAAACTCACTGTAATTGAGTGCCAAGGGAATGTGGAATCCTATGCAAATGTGGGAAAAGACAGAAAAATTCTCTACTGCAAGCCCTCTTACCTCATTTACAGGTGTACAACCACATATTTGAAAAGAGTTTCCAATAATAATTTAAATATCACCAACTGATCCTGCTAAAACTGACAGACAATTTTTAGGGCATTGTATATTGTTTAGGGCTTCCAGCAATACGTTATTGAACCCCTGAGTATAGGTTTTATACTGATCTAAGTAAAGCACCATAATATGGTAGTAAAAAAATTGTATTAAATCCAGCTGCCATCTTTGTTTATGGCAAGACACCCTCTTCTGGTTCAAAGTTCACTGCCTGCTTCCCCTAAAGCAACATAACTGATATTAGAACTAACAGAATGGGAGGTGTTAAGATGCAGAGAGGCAAAACTCATAAAGAATAAAAAAGGACAAAAATGCACATTTTTGGAAACTATACCTCAACCTCTTATGTTTCTTTTTTTAGCCAGTGGTTGGTTACTCTACCAGCTATTGCTGACAACATTCACAGGTGTCGGTGGTAGAGGTAACCACAAAAAAAAATAGTTCATGATAAAAAGAACATAAAAATGTTTTGGATTGGTAAAAGTTAATTTTGACTGCCTGAGCTAAGTACAAATCTAGATCACTGGCAAATGTCCTGAATAATCTTTACAAACTGCAGAATTATTTAAACCTGAAATTCCAAAACCAGGAACTGCTTACAAAATCTCTCTAACCTTGTTCACTGCAGACAATCATATTTCATAGCAATGGGTTTTATCTCTTATGACGTTCATGGAAAGAACATTAACATATGATAAAAATGTAGACATAAAAAAAAAAAAAAAACAGGGCCCACTAATGTGCTTTCTTTATGTTTTTGAGTGGTGACAGACGTTCCATTATCTCAGCTACTTTGATCATATATATTTATAGCAGATAAGGTTTTCCTTGAACGATGTATAATATGATTTAACCTAGCTTTTCTGACACAACATAAACTCTGGACTCCTGTCTTTTACTGTTATGTTAAATTTTATTATACATGGTGCCAATGTATCATATCATGTGGAGTAATTCAACCTAATACTATGTTCAGGCACACATTTTAATAAACACAGCCACAATGACTGTTTGGTAATGGGAAATGGTCATATCAGGAGAGACTTTGTGGAGTTGGCAGAAAACAAAAAAGAAATTGGAAACTACTGTGTTCATTTGGAGGGGTAAAAAAGGAGGGTTAAAAGTAATCCTTGCAAAACAGAGTACCTACCTTTTGAAGATACATTATATGGCTAAAGGTTTTCAGCCATTTCATCTGTTGGACATCCTACTCCAAAGCCATTGGCATTAAAGGAGAAGTATAGCCAAAGCGTTTTTGGCTATACTTCTATTAATCACAGGAGTAAAGTTTGTTCTTCACTCCTGTGACCTGTTTTCAGCCGACAGCAGACAAGAACCTGCTGTCAGCTGAAATCAGAGAGCCTGTCCAGGCTCTGAAAAGATCTCAACCATATGGTCAAGATCCACCCAGAAGCCTGGACCAACACTTGACTCAGCCTCTCAGCGATCCACTGAGAGCTTGAGGTAGCCACTCCCACCCTCTCCACAGCCGGCATTCCAGTGAATGCTGGAGGGGCAGAGCAGGGACCCAGAACCTAACAGTCACAGCTATCTGCTCAGAACGGAGGGGGAGAACTGAGTGATCAGTGGTGTTTGATCGCTCAGTTCTCAGTGCAGATCTGGTAGGGGGCAGATGCAGCATTGGATCGATGTTGCAGCCACCTAGGTGAGTGTACTATTTTTTGTAAGACCATACTTCTCATTTAACATTAATTTGGTCCCTTTTAGCACATACAACAGCCTCCGCTCTGCAGGGAAGGCTTTCTCTAAGTTTCAGAATTGTGTCTATTATGCGTAATCCTATTCAGCCATAAAAACATTTGTATGGTCAAGTCCTACTGTTGGAAGAGAGGACCCAGAAGGCCATTGGAGTTCCAGTAGTGTTCAGTAGGGTTGCAGTCAGGGTTTTGTGCAGACCACTCAATTTTCTCAACACCAAACTCTTCATACCATGTCTTTATGGGTCTGGCTTTGTGCATAAAGGTGCAGTTAGATTGAAATGGAAAGAGTCCTTCCCCAAACTGTTACCACAAAGGTGGAAGTGCACAATATGGCCTTCCCTTTAAAACTATAAATGATGCAGCACTTAATTGTAACTGCATCTGCACCCCCTGAAAAGTCTCATAAGTACCATTTTGATCCTGCCATTAAAGTCTATCTCATGCAGCTTCCTAGACAACACTGCTGCACTACTAATGAATTCAAAGCAGCTTTGTCTCTCATGTCGGCTGTGCATGCATGTACTACAATAAGATGGTTCTGTTGGCATGGTTATAAGCAATGTCACTGCTGATTCACAGGCCTGTAGCTTGTCAATCATCAGCTGGCCAGCCTAGTCCTGCCCACTACTTTCTGGTTTGGAAGCACTGTCTCTGTTGCTGAATCCACCCCCACAATGTGCTGCAGTGTCTGGCAGGATGAGCATATGAGACACAAATAAAATAGGATTTTTTATTTTAATTTATGAGACTTTTGCATCACATAGTAACTGAATTTGAGACTGCCACACAGGAGCATTTAGATGTACTTTAAAGAGAAGTATGGGAACTGAAAAACAAACAGACCGCTATATCTACTTAGATGGCTGCAGAACTGATTCCAGCTGCAACTGCCCCCTGCTGCCTCCATACCGAGAACTCAGAGATCTAAGACCACTGATTACTCAGTTCTCTGTCTTCACTGAGCAGAGAGCTGGTTTAAGCCTGCTGTCAGCTGAAAATGGGTCACAGGAGTACAGAACGAAGCGTACTTTTAAGATCCATAGAAGTATGACCCTACTTCTCCTTTAACAGTACCCTTCACTAGAAATGACTAAACTCAACAATTTGGAGGAGTATCCAGTATTGGCCAAGTAGAGTTTTTAGGCTGATCAGGTGCCCAAAATCTTTCAGTCATATAGTGTAATCACTTCTGCAATGGTAATACAGGAAAACTGACCACTAAAAAAATAAATGATCAGAATACTGTGGCCAACTAGATGCTTATTTCTCAAGGTTGGTAAACAGCAGAACAATTCAGACAATGATTACAAGGACTGTGACATTCTTTGTTCAGACATTAGGTTATAATTTCCAGTGGAATGTCTATCATTTACCAGCCCATACCTGTAAGAAGTTCATCGATAGCATCAACCACCATCTTAGCATCTTCTTTAGTAAAGCACATGGGAGGCTTGAACTTCAGTACATTTCTGTGTGGACCATCAGAACTAAGCAGGATCCTTTTTTCTTTTAGCCTAACAAAAAAATCGGTCACATCCTTTGAATTTTTGTGGCACTTTTAAAAATGCAAAATTACAATAATTTGACTTCAAAAGTTTCAGAAAGGGACACTATAGCTTGTGAATATAAACAACAAAAAATACTTTGCTTTCATAATATAGTATATACTACTTTAACACAGTGAACAGTGACATACATGTTAAGTCAGTTAACCAGCATTTTATCTATCCTAAATTAGCTGTGCAACAGGACATAGCTCACATAGAAATGTCAATGAGCGTGCTGTGTCATATGCCATCTGTCATCTGTCTGTTCTGTATCCGCATGCATTTATCTGGATGGTTGTAAATGAAAGTAGGTTGTAAAGCACTAGATAGTTGTCAGAAATAATAATGCATTAATCAGTTATAGCCTCAACAGGTCTGGATTTCAATTAAGAGACCACTAGGATTCTTTTATTGTGCTGTCATATATAGTGACAGTTGCAACACAGTTAGTACACATCAAATAATGTAAATATTCATGTCTGCATGTGGAGAACTGTTTGCTTCCACATAGTTTCCTTCATGTAGACTTAAGTAAAAGAGATTCACTCCAGGCAGATCTAAAAAACACAGTTTTGTACTTAGTAAAAAAACATCGAAAATATTTTTATACTTTTAGCTTTTCTGTTATCATGAGAACTTGAATTTAGCTTAATATCCAAGTAACCAAGTTGTATTGCTTCACTACAATGGAGAAATGTTAGGTCACCAACATGGCTCTGCTGTCTGTCAATGCTGTACAAATTTCAGGACTGGATTTAACAGAAATAAAAAATAAATTAAAAAATAATGTTTTGCTGCTTTAGAGCTAACCTTTGTTGCTTTTTGCAATTTGAGGAGTGAAACTCAATTATGGATTTGAGGTGGATTTATCTGGGAGTTGTGGCTGCTACCAGTTTCTTTTTTCTCAGCAAGCCTTTGTGCACAAGTGTTGTGGATAGGGTGATAAAAAACAGGTGACTGATCCATGTTTTCACTACCTCCGACCACCTACCTGCAAGTGGTAAAGTGGTAGTAACGTCTGCTATTTCACTTGTACCTACAGGTAAGCCTGTACAAATTACTATTTGTATGATAAGGCTTACCTGTAGGTACAGTGAATATCTCCTAAATTAGGAAATATTCACATTTGTAGTGTGGTGGATTGAGTCATATCTCCTCTTTCGTGCACACACAGCCAGGCACACAGTACTTTCCTCTTTCTTCCACTGGCTTGGAAAACAGTTTAGGGGATCTTTTTAGGGTTTTTATTGGGAACAATGAACATGGGAGCATGGGTTACCCTAAAACTGTAGAACTGGATAACTTTAGACCTCCTCAATTTCTGGCTGCACTTCACAAAACTGCTGGCTGCACTTCATGACTGCAAAATGTCCCACAGGATCTCTATGCTGATAGTGACCTGTACTCCTTCCAGAGTTTAAAAGCTACACACAGTCACTAACTCTTCAGCAATAGAGTTGCTTACTCTCTCAGGATTGTCAGTTGCCTCTTGCCGATAGCCACCAGGCTCTTCCTAGTAAGGGAGATGTAGACTCACACCACCATAGGACAGCATGGCTCTTCCCAACCAACTTCCTCACAGCTCTCTCCCGTGAATTTCTCCAAACTCAACTTGATCCCTGGACTTGAACTTGCGCATTGGCCCCCCAGCTAATCATAGCTGGGACCATAGCTGGGACCCTCAATGTCTTCCCACAGGCTTCAACTTGACCCTGGAACTTGAACTTCAGAATAGGTCCCCAGATAAACCTAGCTAGGACTTCGAATTCACTCAGGTTTCTTAACACTCCTGCCTCAGGGGGCAGAGCTCCTGCACAGGGGTCTTCTCCTGCAGGACTGGACCCAGGAACACTGCACCTGCTGCTCAGGCCACAAACTACTTATGGGCTCTCTCCACCTACTTGTACAAACCTCCCCAGGGATTGGCTAGAGTCTCATAAATATTCAGGCTGCATACCCTGTTCTTCCTCCACTATGCTCCGAGAATCCTCTAAAACAGTGGTCTCTAAACTGCATCCCTTTGCTTTGCTTGCCATTTTATGGTCCCCGGGCACTATTTTTCCCACTGACATTAACAATTAACAGTTCCTGCTACTGACACCAACAATGAGGCACTATTGCTAGCACAGACAACAACGATAGGACACCATTCCTGCCACTGACACCAATGATGGGGCACTATTCCTTTGGCTGACACCAACAATAGTACTCTATTCCTCCCACTGACACCAACAATGTGGAGCTATTACTCTCAATAACACCAAAGTTGGGGCATTGTTAAGGATGCCAGTTAACTTTCTACTCCCACTGGGCACGGTCTGACCCCTCTAAAGTCTGAAGGACAGTAAACTGGCCCTTTGCTTAGAAAGTGTGGAGACCCCTGCTGTAGAAGGCAGGAGAAGTAGCAGAGCAGCAGCCTGTGAAACACTGTGCAGCTCTAATTAAGCAACCACTGCTCCTCTGATTACAGAGGAGCTAAATTAAATTTGTGAGTAGCCTGCTCTACACTAGGAGGATACTATAGTGGCAGTCGGTGACATCACCGGAGAGAATGCGCACTGCGTCCTGAATGGACAGCACACCAAGTATGCCATCCATTCAGAGCACTATGTCACGATCATGAGTCCCGTGCACAGGAGTGACATCATTGCGGCCCAGTAATTGAAACGCCCAGAGGGCAAACCTGGAAGGAAGACTGGGTGATGATGGAAGCCCTGTCAACGGTGACAGAGCGCCACTACAGGGATCCGCTTTACAGGTAAGTCTGTTATGATGTACCAGTATGTGGTGTATACTAGCACATTATGATATTAACCTGCAGAGGGGCATTTTTTTTAACAAGAGAGTTTACTGCTGCTTTACATTGCCATTGAACATGCTTGCATATTTTCGTGGTTGCTTCAACATATTTTATACAGCATGTCATAGGTGTCCAATTCACCAGTGCCACAATCTTGTTGTATCCATATCCAAGGCACAAATTGCATCACAATCCATTGGGACTGTAATGCAAAATCACCTTAAAAAAATAAAAAAACAAACATTCAGAAGGCTGCACATTACCCCCTGAATGCTTGTCAACTGGCTCTAAACTGCAGCTGAAAAGCAATTCACCATGTGTAACCAGTAGCCGACCGCAGATAGCCGAATGACGGCTACACTGCGGCCGGCCAGTTCTGGGTGGACGTCATATGACGTCCTCCCAGAACGCGCTCTCCTGCGCGCCCCGGGGGGCGCGCACCCGGCGATCTCCGTGATCGCTGTGTCCTACGGACACAGCTGATCACGTGATATGGTAAAAGGCCAATCACAGTGGCCTTTTACCACGTGATCAGCGGTGTCCAATGACACGCTGATCAGAGGAAAATGCAAGTGCCGGTTCTCGGCTGCACTTTCCTCACGCTGTCAGATCGTGAGGAAAGTACTGCCGAGAACCGGCAGTTGTCAGAGCGGGATCGGCACCGATCATCAGGGCACTGATGATCAGTGCCCTGATGATCGGTGCCCAGCAGTGCCGCCCGCAAGTTCCGCCCACCTGTGCCCAGCAGTGCGCCCACTAGCTCCGCCCACCTGCGCCCAGCAGTGCACCCACCTGTGCCCAGCAGTGCACCCACCTGTGCCACTCTGCAGTGCCACCTACCTGTGCCCAGAAGTGCAACCTACCTGTGCCCAGCAGTGCCACCCACCTGTGCCCACCCACCTGTGCCCACCAGTGCCACCAGTGCCTGCCCACCAGTGCGCCCACCAGTGCCAGCCAGCAGTGCTGCCAGTCAGTGCCACCAGTCAGTGCCCAGGGGTTGTGCCAGTCAGTGCCGCCAGTCAGTGCCCAGGAGTTGTGCCAGTCAGTGCCGCCAGTCAGTGCCCAGCAGTGATGCCAGTCAGTGCCGTCTATCAGTACCCATCATCAGTGTCACCTATCAGTGCCGCCTATCAGTGCTGCATATTAGTGCCGCCTATCCGTGACACCTCATTAGTGCTGTCTATCAGTGCCGCCTATTCGTGCCACCTCATTAGTGCTGCCTATCAGTGCCCTTTAGTGCTGCCTATCAGTGCCCATCAGTGCCGCCTATCAGTGCCCATCAGTGCTGCCTCATCAACGCACATCAGTGAAGGAGAAAAAATACCTGTTTGAAAAATTTTATAATAGAAACAAAGAAACTTTTTTTTTTTTTTCAAATTTTTTAAATTTTTTTATTTTTAGCGCAAAAAGTAAAGCGCCCAGTGGCGATTAAATACCACCAAAAGAAAGCTCTATTTGTGAGAAAAAAAATGATCAAAATTTCATATGGGTACAATGTTGCATGACCGCGCAATTGTCAATCAAATTGCGGCAGCGCTGAAAGCTGAAAATTGGCCTGGTAAAGAAGGGGGTATAAGTGCCTGGTAGGCAAGACCTTGCTCATGTGAATGAGTGGTTGCTTTACCTGCAGTGAATGACACACTTACTGTTTTATAAATATGTGACCTGAATGTATTCTCTCTGAAAAGAAGTGTTAAAGTGTAGCTTAGTGTTTAAGATTCTGTATATAGCTCTACGGAGCAGACAGTGCACAGTCATAGTTACAAAGAAAGTTAGTCTGGTGGAAAAAAAGACAAAAGTTCATCCCGTTCAACACAAAAAAAAAAAAGAAAAGTTATAATCCTATACCCACAGTTAATATAGAGGAAGGCAAAAATAACCAGCAAAGCATGATCCAATTTGCTCCTGCAGGGGAAAAAATGCCTTCTTGATCCCCTGAGAGGCAAACGGATATTCCCTGGATCGACTTTACATATAAATGTTATATCCAGTTATATTTTGTGTATCTAGGAAAGAATACAGGCCACGTGTTTTTATCTGCTGCTTCTCTGCTAGCAGGAAACAGGTACTTTATTTTCAGAGAAAAGACATAGAGTTTAACCATAGATGCAGCTACGCGCTAATAAACACTGCCATCTACTGGTTGAAGAATATATCTCTACTGAATACTGATACTGATGCAGTTGTACAAAAATATATGGACACTGTATTCCAATACTTAGCAAATACTTTTTTTAGCTGTGGATTAAATGGGGAAAGGTTAGAACCCCTGTCAGGTTTATCTGCTATTTGGGGCTCTGTTAGAGAGATTTACACTTTCTGTTCTAGGAGCAACCTTTCACCAGACAAGAATGGAGGGAAAATCTGCAACAAGGAAATAGACAACATGTAAAAGCTGAAAGATGTGCTATCATTCCTCTATTTAACTTCAAAAATCATTGTTATGTCTGTCTGTGTTGCTGTTGGAAAGTTTCCCTAACTTTCTGTCTGGTATAAAAAAACAAGGGGATATTTCTCTATCACCCTTCAGCCTTATATCTGACAAGGGTTTTAACCTTTTCCTACTCTATCCAAAACTAAAAAACATACACTTTAGGGGAAGAAAAATCACCACATATAAAAAAATACATAGTCCGTATAGTAAACTTGGTACAAAGTACTAGCCTGGAAGGAAAGAGGTTTACCTTCTGCATACAGAAAGGTTTCTTTGCAGTAAAAGCTGTAGACTTGCATATAGTTCTAACTAACTTTGTAGTTCTTAAAAAAAAAGCTGGATGTATCCATGTACAAAATATAAAGTGTAGATTGTTGATCCAGGGAGTATGCAGATTTGTTTTTTTTAAACAATTGATGTTTATTCATAAAAAGCAGAGCATATAAACATCAGTGAACAAAGAGCTTTGCAGGTTCTAAAGTCATGTAGTACATGGTAACAAATGTTGGCTTCAGGAAAAGCTTTATAATACAATCAGATCAGTGGTCTACATGAAGCAGTCACAAATTGAGACGTTTATAGACTGCAAGTACAAACATCAAAACTGACATAAGAAAGCGCATGAACACAACAGTAAAGTTTAGGAAAAAGAAAGAAAGAAAACAGCAATCATAAGAACAGATCCAGTTCCGCAAGGGGTGTCAGGTATCCGCCAGCATGATATGCACATCGACAAGTAAAAAAGTGTTATTTGCCCATCAGCCCTCTATACGTTTCTGAGAAAGTGAAAGCATACCAACTGGACCATAGTTTGTGGAATCTGGCAACCATGTCATCAGTCATAGTCAATGTCCTTTCCAATTCCTGAATATCCAATAATGAATCGAGGGGGCAAGAGCAGTCTTCCAATGTTTGGGGATTAGGGACTTGGCCACATTCAAAAGGTGTCAAACCAAGGATTGCTTGTATGATTTCAATGAGCACTCAGAGATATGGAGGAGACAGCATTCGAGGGTTAAGGGTAATGTGGTCTCAGAAATAGAGTATGTCAACTTGCGAACTTTGTCCCAAAATGGCAAAAGCCGTGGACATTGTCACCAAACACATAACAGGGTGCCTTCGGCTGACTCACATCGCCAACATAAGCCTGACATCTGCGGGAACCACCTCTTTAACCGCCTCTCACCCGCCATATAAGGAAATGACGGGCGCAAGGCAGTTCTCTCGTTCAGGTAGGACATCATATGGCGATCTCCCACTCTAACCGTGCGCGCTCGCCCCCTGTGTCCCTGGGACACAGCGCATCACCGATCAACATAAAGAGCCCAAGATGTTGGCTCTGTCATGTGATCAGCTGTGTCCAATCACAGTTGATCGCATGTAAATAAGGTAATGCCAGTTATCGCAGTCCTTTCCTCACAAGCTGTCACGCTGGCAGCTCGTGAGGAGAGGAGAGCCGGTAATCGGCATTACTCAGAGGGAACATGTACACTGATAATCAGGGCACTGATGATCCGTGTGCCCTGATGATCAGTGTAGCCCCATCAGTGTCACCTGTCAGTGTCCATCAATGCCACCTGTCAGTGCTCATCAATGCCACCTGCCAGTGCCCATCAGTGCCACATCAATGCCACATATCAGTGCCTACCAGTCTGCCTTTCAGTTCCACTTATCAGTGCCAGTCAGTGCCACCTATCAATGCCAGTCAGTGCCACCTATCAGGGCTGCCAATCAGTGCCACCTATCAGTGCCAGTCAGTGCCGCCTATCAGTGCCAGTCAGTGCCGCCTATCAGTGCCCATCAGTGCTGCCTATCAGTGCCGTCTAATAGTGCCAGTCAGTGCCACCTATCAGTGCCACCTAATTGTGCCATATATGAGTGCTGCCTTTAAGTGCCCATCAGTGATGCCTGTCAATGCCAATCACTGCGACCTACCAGTGCCACCTATCAGCGCCCATAAGTGCAGCCTATCAGTGCCCATCACTGCAGCCTCATTAGCACACATCAGTGAAGGAGAAAAATCACTTATTTACAAAATTTTATAACAGAAACTAAGAAAAACCTTCTTTTTTTTCAAAATTTTCAGTTGTTTTTGGTTTGTTTAGCAAAAAATTAAAAACCCAGAGGTGATTAAATACCACCAAAAGAAAGCTCTATCTGTCTCAAAAAAATTGATAAGAATTTCATATGGGTATAGAGTTGCATGACCGCGCAATTGTCATTCAAAGTGTGACAGCGCTGAAATCTGGAAATTGGCCTGGGCAGGAAGGGGGTATAAGTGCCCTGTAGGCAAGTGGTTAACCTATCCCATGTAGCATACCATCTTGTTAACAAGTATGCAGATTTTTATTTATTTATTTATTTATTTTTTGGTTAAACTTGATGATCGTGTATAGTGTTTCTACTACCCAGATTGTTTTAAATTGTATATCAAGTATCTCAGTGCTACTTAATGACAGATTACTTACTTATATATATTATATGTTGAGCCTCAGCTGTAGCTGGAGTTCTCAGTTCTCTATCTTTCACCAGGTCTACTCCAATAAACAGTCCAACTCCCCTGCAAAAAGAAGATAATAAAAAAAGTATTTGTCACCATGGTCACTAGGAAATATAGAAAGGGTGAATCTCCCCTGTGGGCACACAGAAAGCAATAACGCGAAACAGGTTTTGACACGTTTATATTCTAACCAAAACCATAAAAAAGGACTGGCTTTAGATATATTTTAGTACAAGTTAAGCAACATTTTTTTCTGATATGCATGTTACAGTAATTGGCCTAGGCTTGTCCACCTCATTTCCATAAGTTGGACAGTTTTTAAAGATACAAGTTTACATTGCCTGGTCATAAAGTTGTTTATGCCATAGGTGCACTCTGGTTCTAAAAGTTATTTCATCCTGGTACAGCACACAGTACCACATTTTCTATTCTCTAAAAATTGAAGAATTGATAAGTGGAGAAGACACAGCTTGCAACCAATTTTTTTTTTTTCGTTTTCTTGCCCGCAGTACATAAATGTAGGTAGAATCTGATTGTTGGAAACAATAGAAAAACCTCTCTCTCCAGTTTCCCAGTTTTACATTTTCACTCTCATACCCCCTCGTGTGCAAACATTATACAAAGGCATCACACACTATAAATAGAAAATGTATAATATGCATTGTGACACTAAACTACACCCTTCTCAAAAAATAATCCATAAACATCCACTACTAAATAACCCTGTAATCTATTTTTCATTAAATTATTTCTAACGGTTTTTCTTCCTCCCTGTAATGCCCTTTGTGAGCTCCTGAACGTCTCCTTTTTCCTCTCACTTCTGTTTGTTTAGAAAGAACAATGCATGTTGGTTGTGGTCATGTGCACTCGTAGGCAGGTGCAGTTAGCCATTTTGCTACTAGGTGGCTCTGTACCAGCATAATGCCTGGTTACAGCAGACAGTGTCTTCAGGTGCTAGGCCCTTTTAGGTAGAACCCTCCTGCGCTGATATCAGGGGTGAGTGTATACCCATATAATAGGTAGGTAGGGAGGAGCATAACACACTTGGGGCATCAAAGCCAAACACTGCACAACTATGTGGATGAAACCAGTACACATAGGCCCTGGGCAGGGCAGGAGGCCGTGTGGAGTGGACCTGTATGCAGGAGGAGCCTGCTGTAGTCTCTGTTCCTTATGAAGGTGGGAGCTATAGTGGATTGCAAAAGGCCTTTTATGCCAGCTTGGAGATCCCTGTGTGAGGCTTCTACCTTGGAGAGGTGTACCTAGCAAGGAGGTGACTAAAGTGAACATAGTCTTGTGAGTATTAATGATCCTGGGAAGAGAAGAGACTGTAAGGGAGATGGCTGCTGGGGTGCTGCATATGCTTTCACTCATGGCTACTGCAAGCCGTCCACTAAATGTGATTGACTGTGTAATGTCAAGTGGCTCTGGAATATATGTCTTTGTGATGTGACCGTTAAGCCATTTCCTGAACATCCTCAGTAAAGTGCAGCAAAACTACTTGTTGTGTGGACATTCCTTTCTTGAGGATACAAAGGCCAGGAATGTCGTGAGGAGGCAGGGCATAAGATGGTGGATGGTCCTGCCTCAACAGGAGGGACAGTGTTCTAGCAGGGCTGGACCGGGGTAGGGATATGTGTTCTTGGTGCCAAAACCAGCCAACTACAAAGCCCCTCTTATACACTGTTCAAATCTCATAGTCCATAATCCCTAGTCCATCTCAGGAGCAAGCAACAGAGGGTGGCTAAGTTCCTACATACAGTGGGACCATGGAGAACGAACATAGCTACCTCATAGCTAACAGCAAGTTAGATCACAGTAGCAAAAAAAATAAAAAATTTGGAGCTTTGGAGGAGACTGAGAGCAATAGACATTTTTTTTTCATATTGGAATAGAATACTTGATTGGAATATATTTTTTTTTCCAGGGTTTAGTGTCACTTTAAAGCGGAGCTCCACCCAAAAGGGGAAGTTACAGTTTTTGTAGCTGCTGACTTTTATTTTTTGATAGGTCGAGTGGAACTCCGCTTTAAGGATCTGTGGTGGATCACATTTCAAAGTATGTTTGACAAGTGGTGAGGTGGTGATATGTCACCTCTTTTCACTAGTTTGAACCCTTGAAATGCTCCACTACTGTGCCGTAATTGCATGCATTGCACGTGGTTGCAGTGATGCGCTATTCACATGAATGGGTCACGTTCTCTGTTGGTGCTGCCTGACAAAAGCAAAATGCTATTTAATTTTCTGTACTGCGGAGCGGCTGCATGCCTTCATTCAGATGTGCTTTCAGAAGGTGGAAAAGTCCAACTCAGCCGCCTGATTTTACTACCCTCTGGCTACTCCCGTGAATGAGGCCTTAGTATGTGTATTTTGTGTGTACAAAGAAGGCCAACTAACTTTCTTTAAGAAAGCCTAGGCTCACATTTCAAAAAGTCAATATGTCTTTACAAACAGCTTACTCATTCATGTAAACTACACCTGCTCTTACTTATTAGAAATTATAGGTTAACAGTCTAGCTGTTCCTCCCAGAGTGTCCCTGGAAACCATAGACAGACGTAAATGAGCTGTGTTTCCCCAGAGCTCAGTCACCTGATATCTCCTATCAGCTGATGTTTTTCTTTCTGCTCCTCTAGCAGTTCCGTCAGATAGCGGCCCACTCTGGTAGCATTTCCTTGCAGGTCTTCTTTTTCAATAATATCCAACACTGCCAATCCAATGGCACAAGAAACTGGATTTCCTCCAAACTGCATAGAAAGACATTAGTCATGGTCAGAGTAGTAGGGCTGTTTCTGTAAATTATACTGTTCTAAGCAAAGCTATGCATTTAAGATTTTTAAAAAAATGATCGCTGAAGTGACCAGCTGCAAAGCTCTCTAGTGAGTTCTGGTGCGTGGATTTTTGTTTTACGTGCTTGGCCTTGAGCCAGCTGTTCCCCTCATCATATTTTCCATACTGAATATTCTCGGAGGTGCATGTGCAGTTCTGTGAATAGAGACCACTGTAAAAAAGCAGCCCTGCTGTTCTGCAGATGTTGGTTTATAGAGGAACTGTCAGAAGAAAAACTTGGAGGCGGCGGTTGCCAATCTTTAGGAAAATGTGACTTTCCCGCTTTCAAGCTGTTTTTCTGGCTTCACTACTGACCTAAATAAAGTATGGAGATAAACTCCATGGACTTTTCTAGATCAGAGAGTCAGCATAACAGTTAGGCAAATAGCATTTTCAGCATACAGCCTCCATATTTCTTTTATGGCAGGCTTATGTTAAAGCTGAACTCTAGATATAAATGTGCCGGGACAACTAAAAGTCCACCCTTGTGGTGGGGCTGCCCCTGAGCTGCAAGGGTTAACTGCTCAATTCTGTCTAAGTGGCAAAAAGCACAAATCTGGCCGCAGCTGTTTGCACATACAGTGGGGATGGAGATAGTGTGAAAATTACTTTTAATGGAACAGTTAGTGTTGACAATTAGGAGCCAATTTCTAAGGACATTTTATCTGGAAACCACTGTTTGCCTTAGCCGATCCTAGTATGGATGTGTACATGTGAAACCTCAGTCAAAGCTGCTCCTTGGGTCATGCCCTCTGAAATGTTTCACCCAACCAACTGGGGCTTAATCATAGGGGTCCCCTATGATTAAGCCCCAGTGTGTGGGGTGAAACATGTCAGGAGCATTGCCTGAGGAGCTGCTTTTACTGATTTTTACTTACGCTGGCATCCCTACTATCCTGAGTGCCAATGGGGCTCTACACCTCAGTCTGGAGCAGCACCACCAAGTACTTAATTTCCGGGAACATGTCTCAAAACCTTGGAATATCTTTGAAAATCAAGGACAGTTGGCAAGTGTGTTGGATTCTCTTGATTATTATTAGTGGGTTTCCCTGGGTACTCCAGTTTCTTCCCATACTCCACTCCTCCCATACTCCAAAGACATGCTGGTAAGTTAACTGGCCTAGTATGTGTATGTATGAATGTGAGTTAGGGGCCTTAGATTGTGCGCTCCTTGAGGGTTAGAGACTGATGTGAATGTACGATATATATATAAAGCACTGCAAAAATTATTAGCGATATATACAGTAAAGTACCTGTAATAAATAAAATAATTATTACTACTACTTATTTTTAAGATTGTAATAACGCATTCTGGTTGTTCAGAGCAGAGCTGCTTTTTGGTTGGCCAAAAACAGACAGTGGTGTCATGTAGTCATGTGTTAATGTGAATGTGTTTGTAATTAACTTAACTTACTGTGTTAAAATACTCCAGTCCAGTAGCTCCAAAAGCTTCTGCAATTTCTCTGGTCGTGACAACACAAGACAAGGGATGTCCATTGCCGATAGGTTTTCCCATGGTTACAATGTCAGGCACAAAATGTTCACCTTGCAGTTGAAAACTCCAGAAGTGTTTTCCTACCCGGCCAAATCCAACCTGAACTTCATCTGCTATGAAAACTCCACCTGCCTTATGTATATACCTGAAACAGAGGGATAAACCAACAATCGAACAAACAAAAGAAAGACAGAAAGCTGATATTTCATAGTAAGTGAGTTAAAATATATCTCAACCAAAACTTTTTTTTTCTGTTTCGTTTTGGATTATGGTATTCCTTCAAGTTGTTGCTGTCTGTGTTCCACTGTGTAGATTTTCCTTTGCTTCCTATCCCATAAACACAACAGGAAGGAAGATAAAATCTCTCCAAAGTGAGAAAAATCCTCTCTTAGTCCACATTTAAAGGATAAGTTCACCTTTGGGAGCATGTTACATGTTCCACTCATTTGTAGGATGGAACATGGAACATGTGCCCAATGCTGCCCCCCTCCCTATGAAAGCAGTATGGGGAGAAGTTCCCTGTACTAGCTGTCACTTTTTAAAAACAGCGTGGCCGTGCAGTGCTCCACCCACATGGCTGTGTCATTTATTCACAGAGTTCTGTGAATGAAAGAACTACAAGTCCCGACAGCCTTAGCCGCTGTTGGCTTGAATTCTCAATTAACTACTGGCTCTGTGGAGGGCCATGGTAGTTCATTGATTCTTCCTGTCAGTATATCTGCTTGCTCGTACATCCCTGCACTATCAAGCAGATATACCGACAGTCTGCAAGAGACGTGCATGGCACCAGCGATCTGCAGATCTGCAGATGCAATGCTTTACAGGCTCCTGCAACAAAAAATAATAACTGCACATTTTTTACCTGCAAAATATTTTTTGTCAAAAGGTGTACTTATTCTTTAAAGCAGAGCTTGAAATTTCCACTCGCCTGCTCGCATTTGGCAAGTGAAAATAACATGGGGGCGATTGTGTCCCAGGCGCCGCATCGGAGGGTGGGGGGCGGGTGCTACCAGCAGCACCAACCTGCCCTGTGCACTGTGTTGAGGGGGGGCACACTGCTGGTGCCGCTCCTCAGTGACCGGAGTGATTGCAGTTTCACTCCTGTCACAGGAAGCAGCTGCTGACACTTGCTGGAGGGAGGACTAGGCTTTCTCCTCCCTCCTGCCTGTAGGGGGCAATAGACAGCCGCCACTAACGAGTGAAGGCAGAGTGCCCTTTCTCTCTCTCCTTGTCATGTGACCTATCACATGACTGAAGGAGGGAAAGAAGGAGAAGCTGCATTCACAAGACGATCTGTGAGTACAATGGGGAAGGAAGAGGGTACGCTTATGGGGACACCTGATGTAAAGGGGGACTCTGATGGGGACACCTGATGTAAAGGGGGGGCTCTGATGGGAACACCTTATATAAAGCGGGACTCTGATGGGGACACCTGATGTAAAGGGGGACTCTGATGGGGGCACCTGATGTAAAGGGGGACTCTGATAAGGGCACCTGATGTAAAGGGGGACACCTGATGTAAAAGAGGACTCTCATGGGGACACGTATTTTCATTTTATGTTTACATTGTTTTATGTTAACCACTTGCCCTCTAGACTCTATTAAACTATTGCTATTATGTTTAAATTGACATAATAAAGCTATGTTATAATTGCTGTGTTTTTTATATTTTGGACTCTTTAATCTAAAGAAAAATGTAATTTCATAAGCTTTAAAAGGGCATGGTTGGGGCAGGGCTGGGGGCGGGGTTGGGGGGATGGGCCCTGCTTTAAAGACTGTTCCTCTATTCATGTTAGGGTGACTCAGATGGTCACTGGAACACTAACAGAGTGTGCCCCATTGGGGACACAGATGCAAGGAAAACCTGATAGTGGATCTGATCCTTATCTACTCAATGAAAAAACTAAAACTAAAAAAAATAAATAAAAATTGTATTTTGTTTCGCAAACAAAAAGTACATAAATACAGTAGTTAGATGCAGGGTCAGGCTGAACTACTTTTTTTAAGGATAATTTTCAGCAATAACAAAGTCAATTTAATAAGTAAAAAAACTTCTGCAACATCCCAGACTTCTCTTTAACACAAAGATCTTGCTTTACATTTGAAAAATTAATTGTAAAATATTAAGATTATATTTTCATACACTAAAATATACGTGGCAGATTTTGGACTGACCAACATAATCTTTAAATGTGTTATGCATAATTTTATTGTGTCCAAACCTTTGACTGTCACTAAAACTACTAATTACCAATTGAAAAATAAAATTTAACAGATTCTAACATGTACATATATATATATATACACACACAGTATATATTTTTAGTTTTTTTTGTTAAGAGAGGAAAGGATAGAACCTCAGACAGGTTTTATTGTCTAAGGTGGCCTTTCTCATCCTTTCCAACACAGAGGAACCCTTGAAATAACTTTGCAATCGCAAGGAACCCCTGCTAAAAATTATTATACCTACAACTCACAAAACATTAGTGTGATGGTCAGTGGGAAGAATTCCCATATTACAGATATCTAAAAGGATAAATGGTATCAGTGGGAACCTATCTGAAAGGGAGAACACCTAGCAACCTCTGGAGGAACCCTAGGGTTCCATGGAACCCTGGTTGAGAAACCCTGATCTAAGGCCTCATTGGGGAGATTACCATCACTTCCTGTTCCAGTGTCAATATTATCACCAGACAAGAATTGAGAAATCTGCAAAGGAAACAAGGAGCATTAGACAGCTGGCAGGGATTATAGCCTTCCTACTAAAAAGTACTTTTATTGCGGTCTGTGTCTATATGCTCTTTTTTTCCTGCCCTTGTAAATGTTGTCATAAGGAGAGAAGGTAAGGGGAAATCTCCAAAGTGGGATCCTAGACAGCAGTAAAACCTTACAGAGGATCTAACTACTCCATACTCTGCCCGAAACAAAAGAAAAACACATTGGCTATAGATATACCTTAAACAGTAAAAAGCTAATTAAATAATAGATGAAGGGTAGTATCTTACAGCAACCAATTTGGGTTCAGATCATTGTAGTAAGAGCACTGAAATACAAATTCTTTTTGGGTGCTGTGTTAGTGCTCTTGGATGCTTCCCTATAAATCTGTCAGTACTGGGCCCCTCTGAATATTAACATACTATATTGACATACTTTATACAGTATATAACAAGAGAAAGTAATGATAAGCTTCATGTCGCAGTACATCTCTACCACCCTCATCAACATATCTTGATGCATGACTGCCAGTAAAACTGGAAGTTCCCTAATATATTCAGCACTATGATACCTAACCAAAAAGTACTCCCACATCTTCAATGACATTGAGCTCTTACAGTACTCAGCATTGCAAAACCCCCCTATCATATGTCATATATACAGTGACTTGAAAAAGTATTTATACCCCTTGAAATTTTCCACATTTTGTCATGTTACAACCAAAAAATCTAAATGTATTTTTTGGGGATTTTATGTGATAGACCAACACAAAGTGGCACATAATTGTGAGGTGAAAGGAAAATGATAAATGACCCCCCTGAGTCAATACTTGGTAGAACCACCGTTCACTGCAATTACAGCTGCAAGTCTTATTGGGTCTCTAACAGCTTTGCACATCTAGAGAGTGACATTTTTGCATTCTGTTTTGGAAAATAGCTCAAGCTCTGTCAGATTGGATGGAGAGCGTCTGTGACCAGCAATTTTCAAGTCTTTCCATATATTCTCAATTTGATTTAGGTCTGGACTCTGACTGAGCCATTCTAACACATGAATATGCTTTGATCTAAACCATTCCATTGTAGCTCTGGCTGTATGTTTAGGGTAGTTGTCCTGCTGGAAGGTGAACCTCCGCCCCAGTCTCAAGTCTTTTGCAGACTCTAACAGGTTTTCTTCTAAGATCATCCTGAATTTGGCTCCATCCATCATCCCATCAACTCTGACCAGCTTCCCTGTCCCTGCTGAAGAAAAGCATCCCCACAATATGCTGCCACCACCATGTTTCACGGGGGAAATGGTGTGTTCAGGGTGATATGCAGTGTTAGTTTTCCACCAGACATAGAGTTTTGCTTTTAGGCCAAAAAGTTCAATTTTGGTCTCATCTGAGCAGAGCACCTTCTTCCACATATTTGCTGTGCCCCCACATGGCTTCTCACAAACTGCAAACAGGACTTCTTATGGCTTTCTTTCAACAATGGCTTTCTATTTGCCACTCTTCCATAAAGGCCAGATTTGTGGAGTACACGACTAATAGTTGTCCTGTAGACAGATTCTCCCACTTGAGCTGTTAATCTCTGCAGCTCCTCCAGAGTTACCATGGGTCTCAGGACTGCTTCTCTGATTAATGCTCTTCTTGCCTGGCCTGTCAGTTTAGGTGGACAGCCATGTCTTGGTAGGTTTGCAGTTGTACCATACTCTTTCCATTTTCAGATGATGGATTGAACAGTGCTCTGTGAGATGTTCAAACCTTGCAATATTTTTTTTATAGCCTAACCCTGCTTTAAACTTTTCTACAATTTTAACCCTGTCCTGTCTAATGTGTCCCCTGGCCTTCATGATGCTGTTTGTTCACTAATGTTCTCTAACAAACCTCTGAGGGCTTCACAGAACAGCTGTATTTATAGTGAGATTAAATTACACTAATTAGGCGACTTCTGAAGGCAATTGGTTCCACTAGATTTTAGTTAGGGGTATCAGAGGAAAGGGGGCTGAATACAAATGCACACCACACTTTTCAGATTTTATTTGTAAAAAATGTTGAAAACCATTTATCATTTTCCTTCCACTTCTCAATTATGTACCACTTTGTGTTGGTCTATCACATAAAATACATTTACGTTTTTGGTTGTAATATGGCAAAATGTGGAAAATTTCAAGGGATATGAATACTGTTTCACTGTATTTATTAATTTTTTTCCTTACAATATACTCTAAGCACAATAGGCGCACCAATATAAAACATTGATGACATTGTACCATTTTTATAACATTGATACAAAAGACATACAATGATTTATTTTCTACATACTCTGCCACTTTCTGGAAGTAGCCAGGTGGTGGGATAATTTGACCTCCACAGCTCTGCATGGATTCAGCAATGAAGGCAGCAATCTATGTAAGAGAAGAGGACGTCAGGGATGTGTTCTATCTTCTACATTCCGATAATAGGTCTGCATCCAGGATTTGCAGCCATTTTTTTTAGAACATTGATTATTAATTCTTTCAAACAATCAAAAAATAATTATGACATGGTGCTAAAGTAGTAAGCACTGATCAACATTTAATTTTATATGGTTTCAGAATCACTTCTCATCAACTTGGAGACCTTCATAGGCTGAATAAAAATAATTTGGTTATTGCTTAAAAACAGGCATCTTGTCAGGTAAAGTGTATGTCAGGGAAAAAACCCACATTCAATGCTTTTTTGCAGTACATGCACATGTCCCCATGTTTTACCCCTCTGAAAACACTGCATGATGTTTAAAAAAAAAATCAGAAACAGATCTATTGGTCTGTCAGAAATCCACTCTTCCTGAATTCACGCTTCTTCCTGTTTGAGCTGACAGGACAGTGCCTTTGCTGCACTAAATTCTGTGGATTCAGATGTAAGGGAAAACTCTGTGGATTCAGATGTAAAGGGCAACTTTGTGGATTCAGATGTAAAAGGGAACTTTGTGGATTCAGATGTAAAAGGGAACTTTGTGGATTCAGATGTAAAAGGGAACTCTGGGGATTCAGATGTAAAAGGGAACTCTGGGGATTCAGATGTAAAAGGGAACTCTGTGGGTTCAGATGTAAAGGGGAACTCTGTGTGTTCAGATGTAATCAGGAACTCTGTGGGTTCAGATGTAAAGGGAAATTTTGTGAATTCAAATGTAAGTGGAAACTCTGCAGATTCAGATGTAAAGGGGGAACTATGTGGACTCTGATGTAAGGGGACACTCTTGTGACTATCCATATGATTAGAAATGTTACTTAATCACTATATATACACAGTATATATATATATCTATATATACTTAAAAAAGAGTGCTATACGCAGCTAAAGTGTTCAGGTTTGGCTTGAAGAAAAGGTGGCAACCCTACCAAATATGGCAGGAAGGGGGCCCACATGTAAAACATATGAAAAGGTCCTGCTGCAGGACCATAATAAAGGACCCTACTAAAGGGAATAGAGAGCTCCGGGATCAGTGCAAAGGGCCCCGGAGGGAAGGGCCTCAGGTTTGGAGCAAAGGGGGCCCGGGGAGCCCCTTCATGGTTTCTTGCACCAGGTAACTGAAGGTTTCAGCTATGCCTCTGACTTTACCTATTACTCACCATTGCCTGTTCCTCCTCACATACCTACATTGATTTCTTTCCCAGCATAACAATACTGCTTCCTTGACTCCCTATAGCCTGTCTATTTACACTGTGTTGGGAAAGGGATCTTGGAAAATGCTGTAATAGGGAGTAGCCTACATCAATAAGAGATGAGCTCCCAGCAGCTGTACTTTAGAGACTTTTACAAGCCTGTCGATTATGTCACAGGAAGCTTTTTCTTGCTACAGAAACAAGGGTACAGAAAAAAATAATTCTGAGGGAAGGGATGTATGGGGGTAAATTTGTCCTAGACATACACTTTACCATCAATCGCCACTGAATATCATCAGAATCTAAGCTTTTCTTAGCTCTGGAAAACAAAAGTTAGGTTATTTAGAATACCAAGGTTATAAATATCACAACAGTGTAAAAACAAATTTCTGGTTAGTCAAGAATGAAATCAATACCCCCTGAAGAGCAATTAACTGTGGATCACTCTTCAGAGGGCTAATGCAAACGTAAATGAGACGTTTTTAGTTTTATACACGCTCTACATTATATTTCACTTTAAAACAGATGTTTTCTCTATGAACACTTTACATCAGAGAAGGAGCAGCTAGTATTTTCTGGAAACACAAAGTTGATCAATAAATTGTAAGTAAAGTACAATAAATCTTATATACACTATATTCCAAGAGAGGCATGGGAGGGTTTCCAAGGTAGCTGAGATTATTAGTCTTTATCACAGCCTGTTCAGCAACTGGGCATTGCCATCAAAACCTAAAATAATCAACAAGGAAAAGAAAGGGAGAAAAAAACTGCCCATTAGTAAGAATTTTGGTCACTGCCCCATATGAACGTACTACAAAAAGAAGTATGCATTACAAAGTACACTCTCTTTAATGATATGAACAGCAAACCACAATAACGGCATAGAAATAACATAATCCAGAGTATGAATGCAGCCTTCTTGTTGTTTCACAATCACGCTTTTGTTTGTAAACTGAATGTCAGTCTTTCTTCCCACATGACAAAAGCTGTTTATAAGACAGAAAGAACAATTCACACATCAAATCATCTATTCCCTCTCCCATTTTATGGATGAAGTAATGCTTCACAGCACAAGTATTTTTCAGGCTTTTTTTTTTATAATAAAAAACCAGCCATCCACTATAGACATTGTGAGTAATGCATTCTTACACTGTGCAGCATTATAACAGGACAAGATATAAAAAAAGATATGATGTAAAAAAACCTAAAGGTTCCTGTATGAGAATCTAAACAAAGGCCAAATCCAGTTACTGTGTTATAGAAAAGCCTCATAAAGTACATTAGAAACATTTTTTGACTCCCCTGACTGAGCCAAATCCTCCCTTTATTTGTCTCACATGCTCACCCCCCAAGACACTGCAGCTCACAGTGGGAGGGTTTCAGCCAAAGAGGCAGTACTGTCCATCCAGAAAGCATTAGCCAGGATGGAGTTTGGCCAGCTACTAATTGACAAGTGCAAGGCCTTTGACAATGCTGACAGCTAAGCCCCCTGCGATATTCACAGTCCACTGTACTGCAAGCAGGCACGGACTAGATGAGAGAGGCACCCCTACTCTGAATTCAGGAGCGGTGCAGTATTGTTGTCACCCCATCTAAGAAAGTTGCATTAGGTGGATTCCAGTGGCAGGATGAACAGGTGTTTGTGGGACTTTGCAGGGAGAATAATACAACTATTAGCACAGATTCACTTATAATCAGGTGTTACAGGACATATTTTTTCAATGGGGGGTCAAATTTCTGCTTTAAGGCTACCCGGCAGAGGCCCCATCAGTCCAGCAGGGGGACTCAGGTACCTGACCAGCAGGAGGGCCGGCTGCACTTCCTCATGGATGAAACTGATCCCTGTGGCTTCCCCTACAGTTCATCCTCTTGTTTCTTCTACTGGCTTTCATGTGCAGCAGGGGAAGCCTCAGGGGGACCGGTTCCAGTATTTGCTCTGCCCCTCCAATCACTTCCTCCCACCGCTCTGATCATCCCCCTTTGCCGCATGTGTGCCCTTCTGCAGTGCTGCCAGCTTCCCCTCCTCTACCCACCGGCTAAAACTGCTAAGGGGGACAGGATTATCTGGTTCAGGATGGAGAACGTTCATTCAGGAAAGGAAGGAGGCCCAGTATGTATGGCATATTTAGCAATCCCTTCCTTTCCTGAATGAACACAGCAAGCGATTGGTAGCACTTACTCCTGTTTATAGCTGAACCATAGTAAACCTGTTATTACTATGCGTCGGTTTGTGAATGAACAGGAATCCTCTGTTCAGAGTGCATCCTGTTCAATCGCTCTCCAGTGCAGATGAGGCTGCAGAGAAAGGGATTGAAGAATATCCCATTCCTTTTTTTGCGTCTCAAAAGTGAGGCATCACAGGTCTGATAATACCCCTGATATTCTGCCTAACAGGGCTGTTAAAAATGTTAAAAAAAATTAAAATTGAGAAAAATAATTGAAAAAAGCAATGCCTGCTTTAACCCAGAATATGCCACAACAGTGTGCATTGCAGAGCAATGCCATTTACTTGAATGGGTGCTTTCGACAGGGTTATAATTTCTGTGGTGCCCGCGAAACAAAGCATCACAGCTGTGGCATTTGTAGACCCCCAACCGCTGCAGCTAAAGAGCGTAGCAGTTGGGGGCAGTAAAAGCGCAGCTCAACCGTGTTGGTTTACCACCCTCCAACTTCACATGCAAACGAGCCCTAAGGGTACGCTGGCTGTGTGAATGAGTGGTTTGTTAATGTGCTTGGATATGCCGGTTACTCTTTAGGGGTGCAGCACCTATGCAAACACAGCTGTAGGTCCTGCAAAGCTTCTCTGTATGGCGCCCATGCCAGTCAACTGACCTTCTGTGTTGAGAATGCAGCAGGGCAGCCGCTCGGCACAGGACCCGGAAGCAAATGGAGATCACTGGAGTAGCGATATCTACTTCAGTGATTTCCATCTCCCAGGGGCAATAGCCAGGTATTGTATATACATAGTTACATTGGTCCATGCTGCACCAATGTAACTATGTACACTGCTCGAAAAACTTAAAGGAACACTTTTTAATCAGAGTATAGCATCAAGTCAATTAAACTCCTTGGATATAGATCTGGTCAGTTAAGTAGCAGAGGGGGTTGTTAATCAGTTTCAGCGGCATTGGTATTAATGAAATTAACAACAGGTGCACTAGATGGGCAACAATGAGACGACCCCCAAAACAGGAATGGTTTAAAGGTGGAGGCCACTGACATTATTTTCCCTACTTATCTTTTCTGACTGTTTTCACTAGTTTTGCTTTTGGGTAGGGTCAGTGTCACTACTGGTAGCATTAGGCGATACATGGACCCTTCAGAGATTGCACGGGCAGTCCAACTCCTCCAGGATGGCACATCAATACGTGCCATTGCCAGAAGGAGGAGATTCCAGGAGACAGGCAGTTACTCTAGGAGAGTTGGGTAGGGCATTAGAAGGTCCTTAATCCCTCAGCAGGACCGGTATCTGCTCCTTTGTGAAAGGAGTTAAAGGATGAGCACTGCCAGAGCCCTACAAAATGACCTCCAGCAGGCCACTGGCGTAAATCACTCTGACCAAATAATCAGAAACAGAGGGTGGCCTGAGGGCCTAACGTCCTCTAGTGGGTCCTGTGCTCACTGCGTGGCACCATAGAGCTCTATTGGCATTTGCCATTGAACACCAGAATTGGCAGGTCCGCCACTGGCACCCTGTGCTTTTCATAGATGACAGCAGGTTCACTCTGAGCACATGTGACAGACGTGAAAGGGACTGGAGA